TTCCTGTCCCCTCCTGCCTTCTAGTCCTTGTCCCTGGACTGTTGTGCCCCATTAAGACTAGATTGTCTTTTGATGGCCACATTATTACTAGGGCAGGGCTTGGGGCAAGCTCACTGTCAACTAAAACTGCTTCTCTGGTCCCTCTTGCTGCTGCTGAACTTAGTCTCCCAGCCCCACCCCCTACTGTGTGCTAGGGTTTGTAATGCAAATGGTCACCCTTGCCTGGTTTATGTTCCCTTTGGTCTGTTAATATGGGAGCAGAGCACTAGAAGAACCCCCTCTAAGAGAACGATTTAAGCTGGGGGTGGGGGGAGCGGCACAATGAAGAATCTGCATAAGCACATTTTTGTGCTCTTGAGACTATTCAGAGCCTTCTGTTTCCCTGAACTGAACCTTTGGGTGTGGATTTCAGAACCTAGACCCATCTCTGCCTGGCTTTGACGGGGTTGGCTCTAGGGGCCAGCATCCAGCAGCATCCGTGCCAGCCGCCCAAGCGAAGGTGAGAGCCCGTTTCTTTTCTCCGAGAGCCACAGTGGTTGTTTGTTAAAGTCACTAAAATGACAGGAGCTTGGGACTCAAAGGTCCCATTAGGCATTTCATGACAACATAGATCTGCTTCAACCTTGTAGTTAGCGGAGTGGCTTACTCCAAAGATTAAAAAAAAAAATCAATGTACACTTTTTGAAGATCTAATTCAAAGGCTTTCTCCTCCTCGAGCCCTCTTCTTTGGGATCATAGTAGGGTGTGAAAGATGAGAGCCTTTCTAGCACTGTTGAAGGGGTTCCTGATTTCGCCATTAGAAGCAGTTCAACAAACTGGAATGTAAAACTCTCAGTCGTTTAACAAACCAAGCTTTTTCCTACGTCGTAGAGTTTAATCTCCAGTGTATTACTATAGTCTCAAAAGCTTAGCAGGAAGATGATCTAAGGTATAATTTAAGAAAGGATATTTTATCATTGGCAGAACTAAACTATCTTCAATTTACTGAATGTATTCTTTTTATCCAGCAGGTTGGAGCCGAGAGAACTACAAAAGGCAAGAACAAGACAGACAGCAGGTAAGATGGCATTACAATTAGTGACATGTCGCCTCTGTTCCACACCAGTCTTGCCACTGCCATTCTCAATGTCATTGTAAAAATCTGACTTTTTGGTTTGCTTTCGTCTGGAAAGGACTGGGCTTCTCTTCCAAAACTGAACCCCAGCTGTTGGCCTCCTTTTAATCTTGGGTTGCGGATTTCTTATTTTACGTAAGCAGGAGTCAGGTAATGTTGAACTGGATTTTGCTTTCAGAACCTACTGACCAACTCTTAACCTCCTCTGTTGGCAGGGTGCCGGGCCCCAGCAGCTCGCGGCCACGGCGCTCCTTCCTCTCCCGGGTGATCAGGGCGGCGCTGCCCCTGCAGCTGCTGCTCCTGCTGCTGCTGCTCCTCGCCTGCCTGCTGCCCTCCTCTGAAGAGGACTACAGCTGCACTCAGGCCAACAACTTTGCGAGGTCCTTTTACCCCATGCTGAGGTATACCAATGGGCCACCTCCTACCTAGAGGGCCCGGCCTGGCCTGCAGCACCACACCACCAGCCTGTTTACTGCGGTGCCCAGCCCATGGACCCCCAGCCAAACCTGTGAGCGACTCTTAGCAATTGGCACAGTCCAGGACGCTGCTGTGGACACCTCCCTCTGGGCCTGGCCAGAGAGGGCTCTGTGCAGCCCAGGATGACTTTTAAGTGATGTTTTTCCCCTGGAGCAAGGGGCCTGTACAACTCTTCCCCAGGGGATTTGCAAAGCTAGTTGGTTGGTCTAGGCATCTCTGGAAGCTACAGTTTCCTAAGGAGCCAAGCACTTTGTGAATTCTGATTTATTTTTAAAACACCCTTATTATCATGTCACTACTGTGGTCTATGAGCAGTGGCATTCATCATGTAATATATATCGTAGAAACAAGCCAGCAGATTCTACCTTAGAAATGGTTCAGAAATTCATATGCACCCTTTGCTGATTGACTGAAACAATCATATTTAAAATGTTTAGAATTAATTTTATTCCAGTCAGCTAGCAATCTTGAGCTACAGGTGATAAACCAAAATGTTCTGTTCAGTACTTAGATCTGCTCTTTTATATCGCTTACATTTTTAAAGAAATTCTATTGCATGGATGTGGTTATTGTGCATATTTTTTAACAATGCTGAATCTGTATGAATAATATAAACTTTGATTTTTTTTAAAAAGAAACCGAATTTTAGCTTGAGCTTTTGACTAAATGTACAGTAAACGCCAAACTACAGACTTGATAGGGATGTTTTTGTAAGTTAATTTTGTAAGACTTTTCACATTTAAAATGATGCTTCAAGTTTTGTTAAACTGTTTGGCCACGAGGATTGGTATAGAAACTTGAAGTTGTTTGTGGTATGTACAACGCAGATGTTTCTGATTAAACAAAAAATTAGCCAAACTGTTTTACTGGATTATATTATAAAGCAGTTAAATGGTATGCTTAGTCTTCCAAAGAGCAAGCATTGTTTAAAAAAACAAATTTTTTATGGGTTTTATCCTAAACTGAAAGTTTTATATTCTTTTCATTTAATATTGTTGAGAATTACTTATGGTATCTAGAAACCTCCAACCTGTCTGGAGAGAGGAGCCTTGCGTAAATCACTCAGTGTGAGACCTTCAAATGCTGTAGTGAGCCCCAGGGCAGAGGGTGAGCAGTGTTTGTACAACTGGACACAAAGGGAAGGATTATTTTACCCAGTATTTTCTATTCCCACCTCTCTCCAGAGGAAATTAATAGGTAATCAGGCATCTGACAAATGTTACAGGCAAAGCCACATGTGTCAAAGATTTTCCATATGTCAGAGAAAAAAACTGTATTGGACAATGTTAAAGTAGGCAAGGATGATTTTTATTCCAAAGGGTTATAGTACGGGGAAGTCCCTGGGTGGTACAAATGGTTAAGCGCCAGACTACTAACGAAAAGGCTAGCGGTTCAGACCTACCTAGAGGTGCCTCGGAGGTAAAGCCTGGTGATCTGCTTCCAAAAGGTCACAGCCTTGAAAACCCTGTGGAACAGTTGTGCTCTGTACACGTGGGGTTGCCATGAGTCAGAATCCACTCCATGACAACTAATAACCACATGGTAAAGGAGGGGAGAAGACTAAGGGAAGGCAGAGGAGGGAAGGACCTGCAGTGGCAGGGAAAGGGGATTGTCACAGTGGGGACAGAGACCAAAGCTAAGTGTGAGTCCCTGTTCCAGACAGATCAAGAACTGCAAGCTCTTTTAAGAGAAAGTTAGCGGGATTGACCACTGGGATGGGCAAGTGATTTACTAAGGTTATAGTTGTGATTAGGGCCATTTTGTTCAGACTGGTAGTGGAGTAGAGATGACGGTTAGGGTGAGGTTAGTGAAATACGGAGGAAAGGAAGCACCTACAAGTATTCTAAAGTTGTTTAAACAGTAGATCATTAACTTCCTGTCTTGATCAGTTTACAGTAAACCTTCTTAACGAAAGGGGGGGGTTCTTTAAGGAAAGGCAGGGCAAAATTCAACTTTGTCACTTAAAATTCCAGTATCACCACTCACTTTTCATCTAAATAGAGGGTGAACATCATCATTTCTTATTCCTTGGTAAGAAGCTGTTGTTATGTGCCATCGATTCCGACTCATAGCAACCCTGTAGAAGTTACTGAACCCAGTTCCTTGGCTAACTGTTCCTGACCGGCATCTCTGGACCTGGGAGGCACCAATGACTTCTCAGCAATCTCAGTCCCCTCCTCTCCTCTGCAAAGAACACCCCTCCGGAGAAGCCAGCAAAACCCATCTGTATATGAAAGCCTAGACTTTGAACACTGGTGTCCCCTCTATAGGTCAGAATCCACAAGATGTGTGCAGTTACTGGGTATCTTTTATGTAAGCGGACCACTGGAAGAGAACCTTGCTTCACACTTGCTTCACATTCAAAGTGTTTAAAGTTACCAAATTGTTAAACTGATATGGAGAGAAAGGTGCTTTTACCACATGATGACAAAGTATTTTCACTCTTTAAAATAATTACTCTTTGTTCATGGATCACAGTAATCCCAGAGGAAATTTTAAATGAAAATATTACTCAAGCTTTTTCTTCAAGTCACCGAATTAGTGAGAGGGCCCTTGCTCCATTTTCGCCAGAGTCACTGCCTGTTTGATGGAAAGGCAGAATCTCTACCTTGCACTCTAAAGTGTTGTAGAGACCCAGGCTTCTTCTGCCCTTATACACTCTGAGGCAAGTCAAAACAGCAGTTAAATGCTGTTTGCATTTTAAATCCTAATTAATGCCTATCAATTATCTGCACTTCCTAGGGATAAAGCCCTTTGTGTCTTGAGTCTCCAACCCTTGGAGGGAAACCACTGCTGCCTTTACTTGCAGCTTTAGTGTACTCCCAAAACACTTGTTCTGAGATCGTCTGGGTTTTACCTCGTCACAAGTTTTTGCTCCTTCCCTTCCCCACATGCAAGGGAAAACTTAAAATGACTCTTGGCACTAACATAACTTCAATATAAATGAATTACTTTTCTCCCCATCCCTAAAGGGGTATAAGACTAATTGACCCAGGGTAATTACAGAAAATGTAGCCAAACAATTGATGCCCTGAATACTAGAACCTTCCATTTTTTATAGTCTATGCTTTACTTGAACACACAGTGCCTAAGGCTATAAATCGGTATGAGATTATCTAACTGAAGATTATATGTTTCTATTTCAAAAAGCTTTAGATTACTAAATCAGAGGTTCTTAACTTGGCTGAAATTGTATGGAAGCATTTGTGTTTATGTGCCTTTTCCTAGGTTTTCATCAAATTCTCAAAAAGCTCTGTGACCTGAAGTGGGATGGAATTCAGACTAGAATGTGGACACTATTTAGCCTAACTACTGAAAGTTCTTACACTCAGCTCCCAAGAAACACGTTTTCAAAACCAAAAATATGAAAAACACTTTATTTAGCTTAGTCATGTTAAACTTCTTTCTGCAATAGTACTAAACATTAAAGACACACAGCAGGGAAAAAGTACTTCCTGGAGGAATGGAAAGCAGGACTCAAAATCTGCTTTCACACAACAGCGATCTTTCATTTCTAAAAAGGTAATTAAAAGCCTGTGATGGTCATCGACAAATTGGTTTAATGGTACAAAGCATTCTGAAAAAAAAATAGCCAGCCGGCGGGCTCTGAGGTACACAGGACCAATAGTCATGGCATTTAGACACCCACACAGAGAAACACGTGGCAGCGTGACTGTATAGTTACTAGGAGCTGTTCTGGGCTAACATCTCAGACTTCTGTCCTGCCCACAGAGGAAACTCACCGTCACATAGCAGTGCTGGTCTGCACCTGAATAGGATTCTTGGGATTACGCACACAAAACAGATCCTTGAGTCCAAAACAACAAAAAGGGTGAAGAGAAAATCATCTATCACAGAAACAATGCACATCATAGAGCTGCCACTGGAGACAAAATTCCAGCGACTTAGAGAGCTATAAAAAATATGTGGCATGTGTTTTCACACAAAGTATACCCAACTCCACAGGAAAACATCAAGTGCCTAAAAGATGTGAGATTTTTAGATGGGTAAATTCCCAAGGCATATACTCCACTCAAATGCGGCAATAGCAGATAGAAGGAGGTGACAGCTGTGCCCACTAGCTTATAAGCCTAGGAGGGAAGGACAGGAACAATACAAATTATTTTTCCACCACCTCTGCTGTCCTGTAAGGGTTCTTGCAGACCCCATCTAAGCCAAGCAGACGGAATCGAAAGGTGCAGCAAGAGGCAAAGATAACCAACCATCTCTCCATTACACTGCCATTCAGCTCAAGAAGCGGACTCTTACAGAAGCTAGTCCTGGCCAGGCAGTCAGAACACGAGTCCTGGCCCAAGCTTTGCCATAAGGAGTGTTAGGACCTTGAGTCAGTCAGCTTACCACTTTGGGCTTTTAATTTACACGTTTATGAAAGATAGGCTTGAACTTCTATGTCAGAGGTTTGCAAACTATTACTGTGTCTGCAGGGGTGCTCTGGAAATTCGGAGGGGAATACCCAGAGTGGGCCCCCAACCCTACTTAACCAGAGAAGCCATACATGTCAGATTGCATTTGATGAATGGATCGTGCAGTTTAAAAATAGTTTTTCTTTAAAAAAACTTTTTTTTAATTAGTGAAACTGCTGTATGGTCAGTCTTTGCACTAAAATTGGGCTGTGTTCAGCTATTCACTTCACTCCCTGTGTGACCCTGAGCAAACTTGTGTCTGCATTCTCAGTAAGTTTCCATGGCTGAAAAATCAGGGTAACAGTAATTATTGTAAGGATTAAATATGGACGTTCAAGGCACTGGGAGCTCTGTCTGGCACATAGTAAGTGCTCCACAAGTATTTTTAGGTACTAAATGATAAGTGTTTTTTACCACTTCCTTCACATAACATAATATTTTAAAGATTTTTAGAAGCTTAAAGAAATTATGTAAAATTTTATAATAAAAATATTTTGTTTCAAAACAGAATGTGCTGGCAAAGTAAAC